CCTCGCCAAACCATTGAAGCATTAGTCCCCGTAGTAGCTCCCAATAGATCACCATTAGGAAAATATTTGGCTTTGAGCAATTGATAGCATAAAGTGGTCTTGTCCTACATCATGCGCTAGCTTTGCTTGGCTAACATAGCTAAATTAAAAGCTCTAAAATGCCGAAATCCAAGCCCACCTAACCTCTTTGGTCAACAAATTAAATCCTATCGTAACCAGTGGATTCTCCATTTATTAGTGTTATCTCCGCACCAAAAGTTGCTTATGATGCTGTTTAGAGATTGGAGGAAATCTTGTGGAAGCTTGAAACAACCCATGCAATATGTAAGAATAGCTTGCACTACTGCCTTAATCAAAATTTCCTTCCCAGCACGAGATAATAGTTTAGTTTTCCATCCCTTGATTTTTGACCAAACCCTTTCAAGGACAAAGTCAAAGCAAATGGATTTCTTTCTCCCAATGATAAGAGGAAGCCCAAGATATTTGTCATATGTTATCACCTGTGATATATTCAAAGCTTGCATGACCTTATGTTGCATAGCAAGGGGAGTATTGCTACTAAAAAAAATAGAGGACTTATCAAGATTAATTTGTTGGCCTGAGACTTGTTCATATTCCTTCAAAATTTCTAAAAGCTTTACAACTTCTCGTTTAGAGGCCTCTCCAAACAGCAAGCTGTCATATGTAAAAAAACAAATGGGACAAATGAGGACATCCTCTACATAAAGATAATCCTTTTAAATCCCCTCTATTTATAGCACTTGATAAAAGAGCTGATAGTCCTTCTGCACATAGAAGAAAAAGGAAAGGAGAAAGAGGATCTCTCTGTCTAATACCCTTGCTAGGGGTGAATTTCTTTGTTGGTGTCACCGCCCAGAACCTAAATCCGGGGACGTGACAAACGCCCTACACTTGTTAGACAGGTCCCACAAGTGCACAAGGCTCGGAACTTACTCAACAAAATCAGTTTTGATACCATAAAATTTCCAATTAAAATCTAACTTACAAGAGCATGGTATATATATCTAGAATCTATGTCAAATCTCAAGTGGCTAGCCTTCTACCACGTCACTCCCCTTGATTTCCGTGTCTTGGGTCACACTACCTGAAATGGTGGGCAAGGAAAAACGAGGTAAGATAACTCAGTAAGTAAAATATGGATAGCCCGTAATTATACTCATAGCATGCCAACAAGTGTAATCAGAAAAACAGATACAGTACGGGAATGAAATAGACATCTCCTCTATATGTCATGGCTAGTGTTATAAACCTCCCACTGACAGACACACGATTTACTAGTGTATAATCCTACTAGCAGGATAACAGAAACGAACCGGTTCTATCAGTAATATGTCGACATGTGCTAGCGTTTATAAACCTCCCATTAGCGGGCACACAAATAACATGACCATATTGGAGACAAAACAGGCAGAAGTTAACAGAAAAATCATAATTCACCAATCACTTTTAGATCATCAAGACAATCAATTAAATTTCAAGTAAGCATGCTCAATTTAATAAAAAGCATAAAAATTTCACTTCCAATCAGTCATGCTCCTGTAAAACGGGGACTAGGTTTAGTCCCGCCACCATTTCAAAACCATCAAAAATTTGCTTTTAAAAGCTTTACCTTAAATCTCAAGCATTACCATAAGTTATTTACCTCACTTGCATAAAACCGAAGACTCAATCTGAGTGCTAAACTGATAGAACGATCAGGAATCTAATCAAAATATTCAAGAATTAATACCTATACTTACAAACAAGAATGGAGGGACATGGCTTTTATTCAATTATTGTCTCTGGCAAAACTGCCACTAACACACGGGATTTTCTACTCCAAATAATTAAAACTCAATGTATGAACAGAATGCGTGAACAGTACGCGTGAACAGTCGCGTGAACAGTAACTGATATTTCCATAATTCAATTACAGTAAACTAAAATACCAGAAAAAGGATATTTCACCAGATTTTCAGAGCAGAATAGACTGAAGAAGAAAGGAAAAACAGTAGCAAAATGCAGAAAAACGCAGCAGCAATTTGCAGAATTTTATGCGTGAACAGTAGCTGCGCGCATGAACAGTAAAATTTTGGCAAAACAGTAGGATTTTCCGCACAGAACAGCAGCTAGTTTCAAGCCAAAAATAGGATTATTTCTACATGAATTAAGCTAAAAAAACACGTTTAAAATGCTGCCAAATTCTTCCATATTTTCGACAAAAAATTCAATGTACAGGGCAGCAATTACACAGGTTAAATTTAGCAACTAATGGGTGAAATTTGGACTTAGAGAAGTTGTCACCATACTAGAATTTTTTCAGCTGCAGAACCGGACCTGGCGGGGGAAAGAGGCCGGCGGCAATTATGCAGGGGAACTCGCGGCTACCAAATTCAAGAACCAAAAAACAATTCAAAGTAAACCCAAGCCAAATTAGGGGAGAAAAGATGAATCCCAAGGTTGTTGCTTACCAAAAAGCCTAGAAAATCGCACCCCCAACCAGTAGAAACTCATGGACCGAAGGGAAGAGGAAGGGAGAGCAGATCTGGAAATTTCTACTTCAAAGGGAGGGTTCTAGGTCCTAAAATCAGTTCTTTAACAAGAAAAGAAAGGGAAAAATCAAGCTTTGTTACCAATTTCCTCAAGAAATGGAAGTCGGTGGCTTGGGGGAAAGGCTTGTCGGGCTACCACGAAGAAGAAGAGTAGAGCAGAAACGTGTATGGCTAGGAAGAAAAGGAATAAAAATATCAGCTGATCCTCATCCTAATTTCCTTTCTTTTAAGTCCCTAAACTTTGAAAATTTTTGCCATTAAGTTCATTAATAATATTTCTTCACAAGTAGGTCCCTAACTCACTTTAATGCTCTAGAAATTTTGGGGTATTACAATTGGACAGCCATTAATCAATATTGCATACTCAATAGTTCGAACACACATCATGACACAATTGGTCCACTTATCGGGAAACCCCATAGCTCACATTATATCTTCTAGGAGGTTCCATTCTACTCTATCAAATGCCTTGCTTAAGTCAAGTTTATCAGCCATATCACCTCTTTGACCAGCCCTTTTGTGCTTCAGATGATGAATAGCTTTAAAAGCTACTATAACATTATCATAGATTAGCCTTCTGAGAACAAAAGCACTTTGATTTTTTGAGATGATTAGTGGTAAGATTGATTTAAGTCAATTAGTTAAGACTTTTGAGATAACTTTATACAGCACATTGCAGAGACTTATGAACTGAAACTCCTTCACAAAAGAAGGGCATTTGACTTTCAGGATCAATACAATATGAGTAAGGTTGATATCTTTCTCCATAATCCCATTGTTGAGGAAATCTAAAATGACAGCAGTGATATGTTCCCCTATGATATGCCAGTAGTTTTTATAAAAACTAGCATTCATTCCATCTGGTTCTGGGGCTTTTGAAGAATGGATTTTCTTAAGAGCAGCAAGAACTTTAGAACTAGTAAAATCTTTATCCAAAAAGGTTGCCATCGAGGATGAGATCTTGCCTTCTAGTGCATGAAGAATTCTTCTGTTTGGTCTAGAATATCTAGAGGTGAATAAATCTTTGAAGCATCTGATGCAAATTTCCTCTACTCATGTTTTGTTTGATACAAAAGTACCATTATCATCCATTAGATCAGCAATATGATTCTTTTTGTGCTTAGCCAAAGCTCTGTTATGGAAGTAAGCTGTATTTCTATCTCCCTCCTTTAGCCATTGTACTCTTGAGCGCTGCTTCCATAAAACCTCTTCCTTGCGTTGCCAATCGCTAAGCTCTTTTTCTAAAGCTTCCATTGTCCCCAAACTGTTATCTTGTGCTGAACCATTACTAATGCTCAGAAGTTCCTACTGCAAGTGTTTGATATGTTTAGGGATATTTCCAAATTTAGCTTGGCTCCATTCAGTGAGGAGGGAACCACATAAAGTAACCTTGGACAAAACTCGGGACATGTTTGTATTGCCCCCTCCAACCTTCCATCCTTCCTTGATCCTATCCTCACATTATGGTTCCTTCATTCAATAATTCTCAAATCGACAGAACTTAGTAGGTTGATTGCAACATGCCCCTATCCTTTTGTTTGCTATTACTAAAATAGGAGCATGATCAGATTTCAATGCAAGTAAATGATGAGAAAAGGCCCTAGGAAACATGTCCAACCACTCCGAATTCATCAAAACTTGGCCAAGTCTCTCTTTGATCAAATCTCCATGTATCTTTCTCATGAAAGTGAATCGAGGGCCTTTAAAACCCAATTCTTTAAAGGCACAATAGTTTAGAGTTTCTACAAAAGCGTCCATTTGTCTGTAAGGTCGTGGATTACCTCCTTCCTTTTCTGATTGCCTTAAAATTTCATTAAAATCTCCTAAGCACAGCCATGGTAGAGTAGAGGCTGCCTTAAGTGATTTCAAAAGAGTCTAGGATTCTTCCTTGTGGGCAGCCTCTGGATGACTATAAAACCCTGTTAACCTCTAACGATGCCCCCTCGGATCAATACTTTTGACATATATATGGGATTGAGAAACAAAGGATAGTTGCTACGTAAAATCCTCTGTCTAAAGTAGAATCAATCCACCCCCTCTACCAACATAGTCAACAGCAAAATAATGTTCAAACCCGAGATCTATACGAATCAGATTCATCTCAGTGGCCATTCGATTTGTTTCCAAGAGGAAGATGATACTAGGTTTGTGCTGGAAACATAGCTTCTTCAATTCTGAAATTGCAAAGACCACTCCGAGGCCACGACAATTCCATGCCAATATGCAATTTTGAGACATGAGAGAAATAGGGAACGGAGACAAGAGCAAAAATCAGAAAGGGGGGCCCTTAAAACAGGGAGGAACATCGAGGTGAGGAGCTCACTCGTCGAAGAGGGAGAACCAGCAACAGCGAGAGAAACATTTTTAATAAAGATTTATAAAAAATTTTATTATTTAAACTAATTAATTATTTTTAATTTGGTTTTAATTAATTACTTTAATTAATTTTTATTGACTTTAATGAAGATATGTTTTGTTATTTTGGAACTATTAGGATTTGATTAAGTTAATTAAGATTAATTAAGGTAGCTAATTATATTAAGGTAGCTAATTATATTATGGTAGCTAATTATTCTTGATTAATTTTAATTAATCATAATTAATTACTCTAATTGTGATTTAAATTAATTTGACCTAATTAATCTAAATGGTCCGCAGTCAAAGTTCAATATTTTCCAATCTTAATTTGGTACTTATCTTTCTAAAATCGTGCAATTGAGCCCTCAATTTTCAGTTTGTCTAAATGCACCCAAAAGTTTCAAAATTGTACAGTTCAGTCCCTGTATTTTTGTTTGTTTCAAGTTGACATTCTCATTTCTATTTTCATCCGATTATGCCCAAAACTTTCAATCTTCACATCATGTCCATGCTTGTGGTTAATTTGTTTAATTCAAGGTCATTAACTTAAAGAAATTTTAACAAGTCAAATAACGTCTCTAAGTTTAAAGTGTACAACCATGTTTTACAGAAAGGATTGTGAGGTGTGTGGACACCTTTCCTCACTTCTAACCACACCTTTGAACCTTTATTTTTTGTAGATCAATGGTGACCTACTCCACCTTTCTTTGTGTAGGTGGTGACTTCAATTTCCCAATCATCTTAAAAACTTAATTTTTTAAATTTAATTTAATTTTTATTTTTGAAAATTTTAAGTCGGGCATCAATAGATACTCTGATATCTAATAGTAAAGTTTATTATAGAATCCATGCCCATATTTCCATTTCTTGGCTAGTGAGTAAGGATTTAGGGTTGAGCCTTGGAACTCCTCTTGATTTTAAAAGATAGAGACTCAAAAGTTGTTAAAGAGAAGGAGAAATTGAAGAAGAAAGTGATAAGCTTGTGCTAGAAAATGGAAGATGGTGAACAAAAATCAAAGATTGATGGAGGAAAACCTCAATCTACTATAAGAAAATATGCAATTGAAGGATCAAACTAGTATAATGGATAGAAAGATTAGACTTTTAGAGAAGAAGGTTAAGAAGGTAGCAAAGAGATGCTCTCGTGTAGAGATTGTTAGTCAATTCCTATCTTTGTTGTTTATTATTTCCATTACAATTTTCACAGCTATTTTTTCTATTAAGAACCTTCCACCACTATCAATTTCCCATCTCAGTGTAGTCAATTGAAGTAGTGTGAAAGCTATAATGCCTAACTGGATAATATTTAGTTGTTATGTGTAATTGCTATCTTTTTTTATTTTTTTTTATTTGAGTAAATTGCATTTTTGGGGTTTGCACAACAATTTCCATGGATCATACCTCATTTAAGTTATGTATAAATGTGTAATTGCTATCTTTTATATGGCATCTTTTAACCATTTATTTAACACAATCCATCTTTTAACATGTAATATTAACTTTAGCTAATTATATGTAAAAATATTGTTAACGTGCCAAAATGAACGGAATCGCCATCTATCCAAATGAGGTGAGATAGATCACCAAGGTCTTCGTAAAAATTAACTAAGTTCGGAGGATCGGTTAAGTGTGGGGAAGGTGTTAGGCACCCCACGAACTTCCATATAAATACGGTTACCACATACTTTAATTTTGGGGTATTTTTCAATTTTTATAAACTAATAATTACCAAAGCAAATAAATGAATAAAATAAAGTAATAAAAAAAGATTACTTCCAAAAGCACAAAGAAACTGTCATCATTTCTTTTTCTTTTCTTTTTTTCCTTTTTTTTTCGGTTTCCCTTTTTTTGTTTTCCTTTTTCTGCACTGTTTCCTCCCCTGCTCTCTTTTTGTCTCTACTTGCTTTTCTTTCTATTTTTTTTTTAAATCCAACCATTAAGAAAGTTCCTTTTTATTCTTTTTTTTTTTTTACCTGATGCATCTCTTAAAGTAATGATAATATCTCCGAAAATAAATCCTTTATGGGTAAACAAAAACAAACAAACTGACTTCTCCCAACAAGATTCTGCCTTACTGGTAGAACTCCCAACAAGATTCTGCCTTACTGGTAGAATTCCCAACAATTAATATTCCATGACATTTTTTTTTCTCGATTCAAGATTAATTTCAAGCAAAACATGGAAATAAACAGTTTAAAAGGGAAATCAAGCAACTACCAATCACCAAAGAGAGGAAGAAAGAACAGAGTATAACAAAAAGGAATCGCAGAAGAACAAATTAAGAATGATGCACACCTGCAGAAAAATAGGAAAAATCAAGACTTTATTTCTTGAACCCCCAAGTACAAGTTTCTGATTTGCCTTTCTCATTTGCTCTCTTTCTCCTTCTCCAATATTCCTTCTGAGCTTCACCAATTTTCTCCCCTTCTCCCTCAATTTTTCCCAATTTCCCTCAATTTTCGACCTCCCCTCTCAAAGCCGAAGCTTCCCCTTTTATACAGAAACAGGGAGAACCCAAACCCTTTTCTAATTCTAAATTCTTATCTCAATCCCTAAAATTACAGATAATAATCTAACCCTATTAGAATTTGAAATTCTAAAACTAATCTAGTTCTTTACACATCTTCCCTCTTTTAAGGCTAGATTCATACCTTTAAAATATCAGGACTCCCAATTTGAATCGACTTCGAAAACTTCCTCTGCGACTCTTGATAAGGGCTTCAAATCCGAAAATCTCTTCTTGTGTTGTTGTGATCTATCTAAACTTTGAGTGGATTTGTAGATAAATCAAAAGAATTTGGGAATTTCGGGAGAGTGCCTCACGGCAAGAAGAAGAACCGTGAAAGTGAGGGACTTGCGTTCATCTGAACCCTAGCCCCCCTTTTTATTTTTTCAGCCTTCAAGCAAAACGACGTAGTTTTGCAATCTCTTCCCCTCAGCCCTTTAAGTTTCATACTTTTATAAAAACAATCCACTGACTTTTACTTTTATCATTTAGCCCCAATTAAAATTGGGTTATGACAAATATGATAGTAACTCAAAATAATACATTCAACATTAGTGCTAAATTATATTTATGTTATACAAATGAGGTATGTATGCTATGAGTGAATGGGAACCAACTCTCTTTTTTATTAGGTAATTTATGTGAAACTCACACTTTACATTGCTAAATTTTTACTTCAAATTTGCAATAAGTCACATTGGAAAAATGTGTTTACACTTCAAATTAATATATTAATGAAATTTATACCTTATTAAATTTTGATGTCATGAAACTTAACATGCATTAAGTTTCAAAACTTACAATAACTAAACTGTTCTTATCATCAATATAACTCTTTTATTTATGAGCAAATTTTAATATAATTATTTTTATGTGTACATTAAATTGTGAACTTCTTTGGAAACTTCTAATATTTTATTTAGTAAATTATTATGGTTATTATCTATTAATTAGAAAATAAGATAATTTCAAATTGCAGTAATTGTTTTATCTTCAAAATGAATAAATAGAAAATTATATTGAAATCTAATTTTGGACTTATGTCGTATTGTATTTTGCTACCATCAAGGCAAAATTGCATTAAAACTCTAAAATTCACATTAATGAAAACTTTTTTTTTTTTTTTTGTGTGTGTGTCAAGATAACTAATTTAGGTATACGTTGATTGTAATCTTAAATTATTTAAATTTAATTTAAACTTGTATATTTGTTTGGATATTTCAATATTTTCTTCTTTACTTTAGAATGCTTGTTATCCATTTATTTTGTATTTTTTATCAGAAACTAAAATATAGGATCATTTAAAGCAAAATTAGTATTTTATATAAAAAAAAAGTAATAAAAGTATAAAATTTTACTTACATATTTTTTGCATTGAACATGAAAAAAATGGTGTAACTTAAGTCATTTATATTAAATATTTAATTTTGATTCGTAATTACTGTCATTGTATTATCTTTCTTAATTTTACATTCAAACATCAACATAACTTATATAAAATGGTTGGTTGTTGTAATTGTTAATTACCATATGTGTTCTTCCAAATTTCATAACATTGTATAGTTAGAAGAAGAACAAATGCGTGAAAGGTGAACTTGCTCAATCAAATGATACATACTACCAAATGTCCTTTATTAATGGGGACAATCTACATTTGATACTAATTGTGCTTGATTTATAAGTATACAATGATTGATTATCTAATATTTATATTATTTGCTTGAAGCCAATTAATTATGTGATGATTGAAAAACCTACATGATAAACACTTTCTTTTCTTTTTCTTTTTCTTTTTTCTTTTTTCTTTTTTTTTCTTTTTTTTTTTTGTTCTTCCATTTATGTATAAATAAGTATTAACATAACATCACATGGTTTTCTATAACACCATGTGGGTTAAGTATATAATGGTAAGTGGCTAAAATATGCATGGCAAACTAAAGGTGAATAGGTTTGCAAGGGTGGCTAACAACATTGAAGATTTAAGATTTGATGACACAGTTGAATAAAGTCAATATTTTGGTCAAAATAGTAAGTATAATTTAAATTGGTTGATTAGACTTGGGCTATAAGAAGAGATGAAATAAGAGCGTGGTATATGTTAAATAAAAAAAAGTTAGAGCATGGTCTAGTCAAAAATTAAAATTGAAATATAATATATTAAATTTTTTTTATAAAAACAACAAGACTTTGATACTACAAGTATTATTAACTTAGAAAATCTTATATCGAAATTATTATTACACAAAAAACAAATTTACTTCACCTAAATTATCAATAAATACTATTTTTTGACAATCCTTATTAACAATTTCTTAAAAACCCATTCAACATTAAATGAAACTTATTTAATTTATCTACGATCAAGACATTTAATCCCCATCTAAACTCCATGTTGAGGGCAACAAAACAACATGATGGCAACTCACTATAATTAAAGGTGTGAGAGATCACATTTATATGCGAACTGCTATTGAAAACTTCATGTGTATCCTAATGTTTAACTGGTATTAATGTAAATGCTTTTGAGATGCACTATTTCTAGTAGAAGCTACATGCCATGCAACACCAAAATTCAAAAGCAACTGTTGCCCATCCAATTAATGCTATACTTTGAAATATAACAAAAATGCTAAAGGTTTACCCTATATAACTTGTTCTAGCTTCGTAGTCGTCAAGGTTAATGCAGAGTAACTAGACATTATCTAATACGACACTATTCAAAGGCATCAAAATGATTCCATGGTGAGTTATAATGGCCACATCCTTGTCCTTTCCTCATTTACACACATGGTTCATGCCATCATTCACTACTAGAAAAAAGGGGTAATTCGATCAAGCACCATGACCAAAGAAAGCCATATTTTGACCAAAAAATGAGTACTTCAGTCAAATCACTTGATCGAATTGTTGGACCGAATACCCATTATACAAAATAGAATTTTGGAGAACATTTCATCTTAACCAAAATAAAATTTAATTTGGTTAGCATGCTTGACCAAAACAATGGTTGAATAAATAATTAAACAACTTTTATATTTGGATAAATAATTTGACCGAACATAATAAATATTATTTTACTCATATTAGTCAAGCAAAACCAGCTCTCTAGTACCATATTTCAATGCATTTACATGACCGAATTAATGGGGAAGGATATATTTGGTATTTTAAACAAAATATTTTCGATCAATAAGCTTGACTGCAATGAGGTGGATAGTAAATTTCTCTTGCCTATATTTCGGTCAAATTAGCTGACTGAAACAATATCAAATGTATTTATTTGGAAAATTGTTGTATTTTTTTTGGTTAAAACATATGATCGAAATGATATTAGCTATTGCTTTTCACTTCATAATAGTTCGGTCAAACTTAATGATTGAAATAAATTTACGTTGTAAATTATTAATCTTATTTTGGTCAAAATGATTAACTGAAATAAGGATGCAGAATGCAAAAAAAAATAAAAATAAAAATAAAATCATTGAATGAATTTTAATCAACATAATAAATATTATAATAAAATTTAGTATGAAAAATTTCAATTTTAATATCATCAATTATATACAATTCTTATTCATTTTATTTTTTGACATTTTATAGTTTTAAATTATTATTATACTTATTTATTAATAATTATGATTAAATTTCCATATATGCAAGGAAATAAAAATAATTAAAAAATACTTGACATTTACAAAAATAAAATCCAACATAAATACAAAAATAAATCAAATTTATATATATAACCAAAAATTAAATCAAATAAGTTAAAGCATGAAAATAAATTAACATGATATATGGAAAAAATAAAGATATAAGTATAAAATTAGCTCCAAAATGCTGCCCCATTGTTCACCAAAATAAGCAACCTTGAAAATGAAAAATTAAACCATTAGTAGAAGCACCAAAAACATATATAGAAGATAATAGAAAATAAAGAGAAATTTACATAATCAAATAACAAAAGAAAATGAAGGTAAAAGAGAGATGATAAAGAAAGGAATTAGTTATTAGTTTTGGCAAAAAATGTGACTGATATAAAATAAACTTGAACATAAAATACTAAAAGGAAGAAATAAGACTAGTGATGAAGAAGAAGAAGAGAAAAAAAAATGAAGACATGAAGAAGTACAAAAAATTGAAAGAAAATTGTTCAAAGTTAGAGAAATAAGGGGGAAAGAAAGGTGTTGAGAGTTGGAGAAGAAAGAAATGAAAGAGAAGTGATTACAAGAGTTTGGGTTGATGTATATATAGGCAGAGAACTATTTAGGATAGTAAGATTGATTGAAATAAAAAGGTGGAAATTTCAAATATTTTCAACAAAAAAATTCCAATGGGAAGGCATGTGCTGAAAGAATGATGAAATTAGCTTAGTCAAAAATTATGTTCGAATTACATTTAGTGAAAAATTCAAAAATCTCACCAATTTTCGAAGGGAAAGATTAAGGGAAAGATTATATTTTGATAAGTTAATTTGACTAAATTAGTGTAAGGAATTTTTTTTTTTTTTTGTTGCAGAATTAGTTTTTGGTGGAGATTAATGACCAGTGTAATCAAACCAGTTTTCGATCAAATATTTTGACCGAATTTATGTCTATTTTGGTTATAATATATGACCGAATTATAATATAATAAAATATTATCATATTGCGGTCAAGATCACTAACTGAAATATGTTAGTACAGCCTTTCAACATGTTTTTATTTTTTGTTTTCTCTATTTCTTGCTTTGACATTTCCTATTTTTTACTTTCTAGTAATTAAGATATTTCCAAATATATATTAAAACATCTAATTGAAAAGTTTACCTAGTCTTACATGTTCAGATTGTCATACATATCCATGCATATATAATAGTAAAAGATGTTTTTGATATGAAGATCAACTTAAGACAAAGTCAATTATGTTTCACCACTTTTCATAGCCCTTCTTCCTCCCTGCATCATAAAAAACATCTTTCCATCCTGTCGACCTTCTCTTGTAATGTCAGTTGATTCTCTTGTAATTTTGTCACAGTCTGTTACAACTACACCACTCGTTGAGATGACTGAATAGAACTATCAGGTATGGTATATGAAGGATGCCTACGGTGTGAGACCCCTTGCTCAACAGGGTCCATGTAAATGGGCATTCTATAAAATCGCCCATCTTTGGAAGGTCCACCCGAAACTTGGGATAAAAGTTAGGCATCAACTACTATTGGCCATGCAATTTTGTCCTTCCTATATTTTTGAATGGCCTTTGTAGTTAATCGTTCCTGCAATAAATTATATAACATATTTATTTTATCATTGGTTTAAGTACCATTTTGGTCCCTCAACTTGTCACTTTCGGTACCAAAATAGTCCTTCTGTTAGTTAAGTGACAGGTGGCACATTATTTTGTCACAAAATCACTTAAACTTTTTAATTTTAACTACGTGTAATTCCA